CATTTTTTTTTCATTTATATTTGTGTCTTTTGTCTGATGTAAACGTCAAATCTAACATTATTGAAACCAAGAAAACGAGTAAAAGCCATATTGATGACTTGTCTGTCTGTCTGTCTATATGTATGTATGTATGTATGTATGTATGTATGTATGTATGTATGTATGTATGTATGTATGTATGTATGTATGTATGTATGTATGTATGTATGTATGTACATGCTTTAAACTAACATCAGCACATTGCCGGCTATATAGTGCTGTGTAAATTTAGGTATCCTACAAAAAAGGCATACAATACAAGGAAAGGAAAAACAGGTAATATTCCTAACATACAAAGTCTAATAGTTGATATAAACCGCGTTTTTTTTTTTTTAAAGTCCAAGATATTTAAGCAACTTGAATACAATAACATAATATGCACAAGTGGAAAATGTTGTCTCCTCTAGCTGACGCGATGGCATAAAGGGCTTGGATTTCCTTGATATTCTATATATGCGAAACGAATTCGGACACATCTGAATAGAAGAAAGCTATAAATATTACATAAACCCTTTTCGCCAGTTACCAACGACTGCTATGTTTCTCGGAATCTGCGATATTCAAGTCCAAAACTGACAGATGCAAATCTTATTACAGAGTCAGATATGCTACGTTTTGTATTGGCCGGCAATCTTTGTGAAGCAAAGTGGAAACAATTACTTTGAACAAGCCAGTAATTGTTCCCTAGAAGTTTCATGAAGAAAAATACTGGTTACATAAGTAAAGTCATTTAATTTACAAACGTTAAATCACTTTTTACAAATATACAAAACAAGCAGACCATGAGAATGAAAGAGCGTGTGCATATATATATATATATATATATATATATATATATATATATATATATATATATGTATATGTATATATATATATGTATATATATATATATATAATTTCCTGAATACAAGTAGTATTAGAAAACCAGGTTTTCAACTCACTTTGTTTTTTTACCCTCCAAACAAGTATAAATTATAGTCCTAAATTATCCCCCACCCCACCCCCTTTTGTTTCCAAAATAAAACAGGGTTTTGACTCACCCTCCCCCACCTCTTTTTTTCCCCCTACTACTACCTGTAAACAGGTATTTTGTAACCAAACAAAACAACAGGTGTTGGAATGCGATAAGCTCTTTACACAGAGGTGACTAATTTGTTAGAACAGCGCATGTGTGGAATACAATTATTCTAAAGACGGCAAACGGGTTTTACCACAAGATAACAGGATGAAAATTAAACTGTGCATTAGAATGTTTCAGTTAACAAGGTGGAAATTAAACTAGCATTAGAATGAAAATGATATTATTTTAGTTATATTATATCTTAAGTTTAGATAAAATTTTACGTTACTCATATTTTTTATGATATTTTTTTTCATACTTGCTAACCCTCATTGGTAGAATGTCTGTTAACATATTGTCAATAATACGAAATTCACGTAATAAATCATCCATATTATATTTAACTCCTCGTAGGTAAGACCGGATGTGATCAAGTAGTTTCTTATAAGTTTTAATTGATGTTAAACAACCATGCTTCTTTATCAAAAGTCTTGGTTCTACTTTTTTACACGCTGCTGTAAGTGAAACACCAATACCAGATATAATTAACAAAAAGGGATTTAACGATATCCCACTTGAAATTATACCAGAACTGGTCATTAACAATGGTAGATATGATATTACTCGAAGGATCTTGTTGTAGTATTTATAACATTTTTTAACGCACCAATGTTTTTTGTGATAATATTTGTAGTATTGTATTAGTGCGTCCACATCTTGTTTTGGAATATCTTTTGAAATATGATTGAAATCAACTATACTTCTTTTCATTATAATATTAGTTCACATAGTCCTATGTTTGGTTAATTCATAATAAGAGCTGGTTGTTCAGCTATAAATTCCAAACACCAGAGAAAAATTATTAATTTTAAAGTTTTATCAACTGGTTCAAGTACAAATTCTTCTTCAGAATTTTGGTTTATTATTACAGATAATACTCCAGATGAGTCATCATTTAGATGACGAGATAGATATTTGGTAGATATTCTAAACTTTGCACTGCTAAGCACTGACAATCTATACATACCAGTAACTTCTGCAGTGTATTTGATAGAATTATTTTGCCTCGTCCATGTACTAGACCCAGATGCAACAGTATACACAATATTTTTAATCTGTTTGTGAGGTATTTTAATCATATTTGTTTTCTCAACAATATTAGGAATTCCACTAATAATATCATTGAGTTTTGTGTTAATATTAGCGAGTGTAATGTCAACATTTGATGGATTTCCAAAAAATTCATCTCTAATTTTGTTTATGCTTCTGCGAAAACTTGAAAATGTGTTCACGTGACTGGTAAAATTATTTTTGAGTGCTGTGATTTCATTAGTAATTAAAGCGTCCCAATCATTGACATATTTTTTAGTGACAGCATCCCCATCCTCAGTTGGGTTTCCA